ATTTACTCATTAGTTCACCCTAAACCCTCATATTCTAACTCATTTCTCTATATATTCCTAAGTTAGCATTTATCCCTTTTCTGTACTTTATCAATGATATCATGTCACAAAGTCAGAATATGAGGGTTTGTGAGACAGAGATAGCAGTTGACTACAGGAATATTTAGCTTAAATGGTTGGAACCCCGCAAGTGGCATGACCGGTATCTCTTGTAACAAGTTTCCCTTTTTAAGGATGGGATGCAACCAGAGAACTCTCTAAAGGTGAAACAATCCATTGTCCTCAATAGAACTGAAATTTAAAATCAATATAACTATGTGAATGATAGATAGGTACAAGAAAACCAAATACCATTATTTGGGGTATTTCCATGTGGCTGGTTTTTGGAATTAGTTCTTGACAATCATATTTCAACAAAGTTATACCCCTTTCGTCCCAAAATGACCTTCCTACTATCTTTTTTGGAAATCTCAAAATAATCTTCTCATTCGTTTTAAAGAAAGAATTAAGTGGTTATTATTCTATCACTCATTTGCATAAACTTGAACCACACAATTTCACTTTTCTTAAACTTTGTGTCATTTTAATATGAGAAAATGAATTTAGGACGAAGGGGGTAATGTGTTGATCAAGTATAGCCTAGCCACCTAACTAGATTACTGAAGTAACTGAACATAAAAATATTCAAAAAAAAACTTCTTGAAACAAACTCTTTGTATCACACAATGATTTTAAATGCCTTTTTCACCTCAAGACATGTACTGCTTGGCAGTTAGCACTTTGTCTTGATTAAAATTTCTAGGAAAGATAAGCTCAAATGTGTTTTTTGGTGAAACGGGTCACAATCTCCAACTTAATACCCAAAGAAGAATATTTTTTTTAGGAAAAATAAAAATAGAATCTGTTGAAAGGAACGAACTCTTAATACTTCCTTTAAAAATGTCCAAAGGTTAGTCTTGTTTCAATTTTCAACAGAAAAAAAAATTGAAGTTCTACTGAAGAAATTGTGGTCTTCCCAGAAAGAGTGCCAAACTAGTCAAATAAAAAGTGTTATACAAACCAAAAAATTGGAAATTATGTATGCCCAATGACTTAAAAAAGTTGATGCTGCCAAAATTTAAAAGTTGTAATTTTTGAAACATGAGTTTGCTCTAAGAAACAACAATAGACCTAGTAAAATCTCATGGAGTGGAATCTGGGCAGGGTGTGTGCATGTAGACCTTACCCCTTCATGGAGAGTGCATGAGTTTTTTTTAAACAATTTAGTATTCTTATGTTCATTTTTAATTAATCAGTGCATGTTGTTAACTATGCATTTTATGGAAGCATAGGTGATATGAGTCGAGTAAAATCAATGTCATGTTATGTTATCAAGGGGCTTAGTTTACACAGAGTAAGTTGTTCAAACTAAGCCCTCATTAGGTATTAGCACTAGTCTTGAATGTAATCTACCCATTAGATGTACCAAAACGAAGAGGTTGTCAGTTGTCACAATACCCTTGCCTAGTAAGATAACTAACTTCATCAAAGCAAGCTTATAAGCGGTACACACATCTAGCTAATTCCAAACATTTCTTTATCAATAGTTCTATCGCATCTGAGCATTAATACACTAAAAGATGTACCCAACATAGGTTCCATTAAGTTTTTTCATCGATTATTGGTATATATGCACTGCATTATTAAAAGGTACATATTTTATTGATTGGTCTGTCCTGGTTTTAAGTTTTTTTGACTCGATGCTCCCTTGGGAACATCCTCTCTATCGTATTAAGTAGGGGTAGGGCCAGAGTGCAACTATGCACCCACCCTCCCAGGCCTTACTAGGTTGGTGTTCTTCATAGAACAAATGGATTCCATGTTTAGAAAAGCCTTAATAAAGTTTATATTGCAACAAGATCTATGAAATGGAAACCCTCTATAAACAGTTCTTTGAATTACTCCCAATATAAGATAAACAAAATATACATAGTATGCAATATAGTCATCAGTCATCTTATAAAAGCATAACAGTAGATGAATTGAGCTTGAGGAAAAATGAGAATTGAGCAATTGCTTACCAGGCACAATTTTTGGAGGGTCCTTTGGGTCCGCTGTGCACATATATCTCTGTCCCTTGTACCAAACAAGCCGCGGTGGATTAGGCTTATACTGGCGTCCATCTGGCAAACTGATATAAAACCCCAGGACATCACCTTCACCATATCCTTCCTCCCCATACTTCTCCCTAAGTGCCTTGTGAACCTTGCTCCCATCAATGTCTCTGTAGCCAAAGCTATTCCCATCGTACCCAACAGGTGCCTGAATGTCCCCTTTTTCTGTCGACCATCCAAGCCGTGTATGCCCTGTCTCCCCCAAATTCATCACCTTGATCTCAAAATACCAAGCCCCTTCCTCCACCCCTCTCGTGGCCCTCACCATTCTATACCCTTTTGTACTTCCGGCACTCAATCTATCCTCACTCAGCTCAACTTTCTCTGCCTTGTACGTTTTCGAGAGGCATATTTTCATCTCCTGCCCGTCGTCGTTCTTGTCAGGGAACCTAGGTACAGGAGTTATCAACACCTTGTCCTCAGTTTCCTGTGCAATGGCATTCTTCTTGCTTCCGTTCTGGTTACCATTGCTCTTGTTCTTCTTCTTCCCCTTTCTAGATGTGGGCTTCGCCCACACATTGTTACACTTCTTCTTCCATTTTGACTTCTGGCTACTCTTAGAAGCTGGTTCTTTCACCTCAACCGTCTGTTTATTCTCAACAGCTGGAGAATCCAATGGCATGTCAGTAAATTCACCATCGTCCGGCTCCACTTTTGGCAACTGAGCCGGCGAGGACGGTATGATGGGTGACGACAGTTTAGGCTTCTTCGGAGGAGGCTCCTCCTCTTCATCCGCTTCGATCTCTTCGTCCTCTTCAACATCCGTTTCGGACGATTTGGCGAATTGCGGGGAGAATTTGCGAACGGATGCAGAATCAGAGTTTACGGATGCGCGCGCCGGGGGGACTCCAGGAGCGGTTGCTCCTCCGTCGAATGTGGATGTAGACGGCGGTTCCTCGGAGGTGACCGCCGCCGTGGTGGTGGTGTTTAGGGAGGATTCGTTGCTCTCGTCCTCCGCGTCTTTGTAAGTTGCCCTCAGGTCCTCCATCTTCACGACTGAGCCGCGGAGAATTGCAGATAGACTTTCTTCTGGTTCCGTTGTTTATACGCAGAAGTATAATTAGATCTGGGCCAGCCTGTTTCTGGACCCAACCTCAAAGATTGGCCTCCAATCTATTTACTCTATTATGTCCGATGGATGATCCCAAGCCCAAACTTTGATAAACGGAATTACTCCGATGGGCCTCCAATTCTTTTAGGTAGCGTTTAGCAACTAACATTTCATTTCAATTCATGCATTTTAATTCTAAAATTTAAAATCTTGAATTACAAATGACAATTGAAGGTGCATGAATTTCAAATTAAGCTTTGTTATGAGTGAGAAGAATTTGACACAAATCTAAATTCAAAATTTTTAAATTTCCCAAACATTGAATTTGAGTCAAATCTGGATTTGAAATCCAAAACCATATTCCCAGACATATCATTACGGAATACGTAATTAGTTACTACGGAATAATTTATTTATTTATTTTTAAACACTAGGGAATAATTTATTATTGTCTTTATTGTTAAAATATGAGCGACATATTTGTATTGCTAATATCAAATTACTATTAAAACAATTCAATTGGATCTCACGAAAATAAGATTTGAGGAGAGTATATGTACACAACCTTGCTCCAACCCGAAAGTAGAGAGGTTATTTCAATGAGCCCCCGGCTCAAGCTGCATATAAAAAGACATCATATGAAATTAGAGAAAAGTACACAATTTACCCATGAACTCTTTGAAAATTGCATGGTTTATCTCTTAACATTAAAAGGTACACCGCTTACCCTCGAATTCTTCAAAAATTGTACGTTTTACCCTTGGACATTAAAAAGTTCACTAAATATTCCTGAACAATTTATAACGTTGAACTATTGTTCCTAAAATGCTAGATAGGCAGTACGTTGCTCCCATGCACGCCAATTGTGAGCATGATTCATTTGGCCCTTGTAATTTCTCCAAAGTATCCTTCCACAAAATTATCATTTTTATCTAAATGTTAAGGGGTAAACCGTGTAATTTCTGAAGAGTTCATCTAAACTCTTCAGAAATATTTAATGTCTGAAATATCAAAATGTTAAGGAGTAAACCTATTTCTGAAGAGTTTATCTAAATGTTAAGGGACAAACCGTGTAATTTCTCAAAAATATGATCGAATTCTCTAAAATATTTAATTGTGTCACCTCTTTTCCTTTCAATTCCCCAATAATATCATTGAATTCTCTACCATGTTCAAAAGAGTCACTTGAAATTTTTTAAACACTCACAATTCTTGATAAACTTTTGTATTTTTTTAATTGTATATGTTTTTAATAATTTCTTATAACTTGGGTATTTTTTAACAAAATCGTTTTTTCGTCAATTATTATTCAAGTTTTGTTTTTTAATGTCTGTTATAAAAAAAACTAAAAAGTATACTTCGTATTGTTTCTAAATTAATTAGTGTCAAAACTTCAAAGCCACGTCTCAAACATGATTGGATAATTACCATTCCAAATGCGGATTATAGTTTTCTTTACATTACGCCAACCTCTAGATGAAGGATTGGAGGATTTAAAACAAAACTAAAATTAGTCCTTTTTGTCTTTTATTAACTTCAATGGATATTTTATTAATCCATATTCAAGACAATTTTTTTCTTTATTAACTTTGATAGACAATTGTTTAATCAAATACTGCTTCCGTCACAGGGTATTCATCCATTTTGACTTTTTAAAGTCAAACTGGACAAACATTAGACATCTATTAAATAAAAATGGCAATGTATTTTAGTGGAAAATAGATTTCAATAGATTTATGTGAAATTTGCACTAAATAAGACTAAAATATAAATCATTTCCTAATGTAGGGCTTAAACTTTTTTATTTCCTAAATAATACTCCCTCCATCCCAAAAAGATTGGTACATATTGACTTTTTGGAAAATTAAAGGAGGGATATTTTGGTGTTGACTTTCCAAAAATACCCTTGATGTGATGGGTAAAAGTAGAATGTGATGGATAGATTATTAGGAAAAAAGTATGAAGTGATAGGTAGGGTATGAAAAAGTAATGGGTAAAAGTGGTTTTTTAATATAAATGTAACGGACTTTACGGGACGCAGTTTTTTCGAAACGTGTCGAACTTTTTGGGACAGAGGGAGTACTTAATAATGTCTAGTGAGTGGAATAATGTCCAGTGATGGTGGACATTTACTAGAATAATGACTAATGGATATTGATCAATAGTCATATATTGAGAGAATAAAAATATATAGTCCTATTTTTAGAAAGTCATTATGTTTTTAATCCTATTTAGGTAAAATCCCCTAGATTTATTTTGTTGAGAACTATTAAAACTTTATATTAGTAATTTATTGTATTGAAATGAAACACAAATTAAGAGTAATTGATAATTAAAGTTTATCATGTTTGACTCGAAAAAATTAAATTGGATAAATACGCTGAGAATGAGGCAAATGCATATTTCAAATTTTGAAAAATATCGAAATCTCTTCGTAATAGCTGAATTGGTTTCAAAATTTTTGGATATTACAAAGATATTTCAAAATTTATCAAAATTTTCCCCGAAAAAGAAAACCCAAATTGGAAATTTTATACTTCGTAAATTATATATGGAGTATTGTCTTAATATTCTTCAGTTATTTAATTACTTATTTATGTGCTCTTTGTTAATTAACTGATGACCCATTTCAACTTCAAGCTGCAGTTTAATTAATAATTAATCCCATCATCTTCCTCACCATGTCATCCTCACTTGATGAGTCTGCCATTATCAGAGCTTGCAAAGCTCTGCTACTCTTAAGCCCACTGCTTTTCTTGACTGTCATTTTGATGCTTCCAAGCTCTGAGATTCACTACTATCCATTGTCACAAAAGCTTGTTGTTGGTGGTGGTGGTGATGATCATTCTGGTCCCACCGATCTGAGCCACCTGGTGTTCGGTGTTCTCGGCTCCGAGAAAGCGTGGCACCACAGGAAGGCGTACGTCGAGTCGTGGTGGCGACCCAACGCGACGGTTGGTTTGTTGTTGTTGGATAAAGAGCCAACCGGAGACTTGCTCCCGTGGTCTCCTTTTTCCCCACCCTATAGGTAAAAAGTTCGTTGTGAGAGTGTCATTCAATACGATTCAATATTTCAATGTGAAATTTGCACTAAATAGGACTAAAACATAATGACTTTCATAATGTAGGACTTAAATTTTTTTATTTCCTAAATAGGATTTAATAATGACCTAGTGGAAGGAATAATGTCCAGCAATGAAGGACATTTAGTTGAATAATGACTACTTGAGAATGACCAAAGGTCCTACATTGGAAAATAAAAACATATGGTCCTATATTGGAAAATTCATTATGTTTAAATCCTATTTAGGTAAATTTCTCTATTTCAATTTAAATATCGATGTAGCTATAAAAATAAAAATTTATATTGGTCATCTAATACCATTTACGATATGTGACGTACTATATATTACTCCATCCGTCTCATGAAACATAGGACTTTTGCTTTTTAGGAAGGATTTAAGGGGAGTGTATTTTGGTATTGAATTTCCAAAAATGTCCTTTGTTGTGATGGGTAAAAGTATGATTTGATAGATAGATTATTAGTAAAAAAGTATGATGTGATTGTTAGGGTATGAAAAAGTAAGGGGTAAAAGTGACTTTTTAATAGAAATGAGAAGTGTTTTGTGGGACGGATAAAAGAAGAAAGGAGAAAGATTTCATGGAACGGAGGGAGTAGAATATAAAAAACCTTTTCTGTGTCACAACCACACAAACTTGAATTTTTGGTTGAATGGTTCCTTGACATGGTCTCGAAACCTTGTTGACTAAAAGGTCACGACGGGTTCAAAACTTGATGAGCGCCATCGTACCCAATTTAAAAGAATTAAGATTTCACGTGCAGTAATGCTCGAAAAAACACGCCTACACATGAGGGTGCATGTTAGAGTATAAAAAATCTTTCCTAGCCTACAAGCACAAGCTTAAGCTTTTGGTTGATTTGATTTCTTGACAGTGATTGATGCTATTTTTATATTGTTTTACCAAATTACTGTTTAAATACAATCTGAAAGTGAAATATATAAAATATACCCAAGTAAGAACTAAACTAAGTTATGATGTACTATAAATTATACTTTTATTTTAATTTCTATTTTAGAATTTTTTTCTATAAATTACCCCGCAACGACAACGGTATTTCCACCGTGTTTCTTGGAATATTGAATATCTTATTTTAAATATTTTAGTCCTATTTAGGCATTCATTCCTGGCCTTCAATTACTTGAATTAATATTTGAGATAAATTTCTCCGATATTTTTTTATCATTTCACATTGCAATATGCAGAGTATAAATTTTGTTATGCATGCAAGGGCTTGTTTTACTCTACGAGATACATGCAAAGTATATTCACGTTATGAATAATGGTTCTCTATTATTGTTGTCAGAAGTCAATCAAAAACCTTATATACGGAGTACGTTATTTTACACCTTTCTTTGTCATCTAAACTAAGCTCACTTTGTTGGGAATTAAACACACAACACACACAAATAATCTACGAGAAACGAGAGAAACGGAACACGGACGACACATAAGAATTTAATGTGGTTCGGTTTTCCTACTCTATGGCTGCAACATGAGGATTTCTATTTCACTTGTCGTGTCTCCCGGAATTACAAGTACGAGGGCTAATATATAGGAGAAAAACCTAGGGTTACAAAACATGGGTCGGGCCTACAAGTCAAGCTCAAGCCTCCACAAACCCAACATTCTCCCACTTGGAGGCTTGATAGTCATCAACTTCCATCCACCACGATTGCATGTACATCGAGTAATCCACTTGACCCCAAAAAACATGACTTTAGTAATTAATGACAATTTATAACGTAGAGTATCGGACGACGTAAACCGGATAATGAGAGAGACGAAGCACAGGAACAAGAGGGTGGCACGGATGGTGCACGGGATAATGGAGGTTGTGAGGGACGCGCCGCAGCCGCAGCAGGAGGTGCGGTGGGTGGTGATGGCGGACGAGGACACGGTGCTCCTGGTGGACAACCTGGTGGCTCTTCTGGCCGGGCTGGACCACAGAAAGCTGTACTATCTGGGTGGCCACTCAGAGTTCATCCTGTCCAACTATTGGTTCTCATTCCAACAGGCCTTTGGAGGGGGTGGCATAGTGCTCAGCTATCCCTTGGCAAGGGCACTGTCCCATGGAATAATGGGTTGCCTCAAGAGATACCAAAATCTCAACAGTGCTGACAAAACTTGTTCCTATTGCATTGCAGATCTTGGTGTCAGTTTGTCTCCACAACATGGCTTTCACCAGGTATATAATCCCAATCTATTCCTCCAATTTAACTTTTTTTCGAAAATTGAATTAATTTTGATCACCCATTGCTCTTAATTTATATTATCCTTGTCGCATAAACTCCATCATTGGACTTTTTTTAGTCAAACAATGTTAGTGTGTCATCTCACATCGGAACTTCAAAAGCAAAATAATCGGTATTTAAGTTCTTGAGTTGAATTAACTAATTGATTGGATTCAATCTTTTAATGTGGTTCAACCCAAATGTCTTATTACTCAATCTAGTTATCTCTACCCAATCCTAAATTTTATCAAACAATGACATCATTTAACCATAAATTGTAAAAAAAATATACTCGTTCCGCCCCAGGGTATCCGTCTAGTTTGACTTTTTCGAGTCAAACTGGTTAAACTTAAATCATCAATTACTCTCAATTTGTATTACATATTAATACAATAGAATAAACTATTGAAAGTTCTAAAGAAGTTAAGTAAATTAAAATCATTTTTATACTTATATACGGAGTACATTATAATTTTTACTTAATTAAGGCTCAAATTTGTCTTGTTTGACTCGAAAAAGTCAAACTGGACGAATACTAGGACAGAGAAAGTATTAAATTATAATATAAATTTTATACAATTAGATTCATGTTAGATATAGTTTTAATATATTAAATCGATTTAACATTCATTTATTAAAATTATATTTAATTGTGGTCCAAGGGTGTAACTGACTTAAAAAAATCACACTCTATTATAGAAGTTTATGAGACGAAAAAAGTATTACAATACATATTAATACAATGAAATAAAATTTTGAAATAAGGAATGTAATTTTAATTTTTAAAATTCATACATGCAGATTGATATGAGAGGAGACATATCAGGATTTTTATCACATCATCCAAACACACCCTTAATATCCCTCCACCATTTTGACTATGTCAACCCAATCTTCCCATCCATGGATAGAGCCCAATCCGTTGGTCATCTGATGAACGCTGCAAATCTGGATCAAACTCGGATCCTCCAACAGATCATCTGCTTCCACAGGTATTTTTATTTGTTTTTTCAGAATATTCGCTCAATTTGATTTTTTTATCAAATTAGACTGAACTTGATCAAATACTCCTTCCAACATAAAAACTATTCTTATTTTGATTTTTTAGTCAAACAGTTACAAAAATGATTCTAATTTTCTCGCAATTTATGATCAAAGAATATCATTATTTGATCAAAAAAATACGGAGTATTTAATTTATATAATAATTCTAAAATTCTAATTTTCTCGCAATTCGTTATTTGATCAAAGAAAAAGGAAGGGTTTGTTTGGTACATGTAATTCAAACTATGGAATTGGATTTGGAGACAATAATTTCAATTCTGCTATTTGAAAGCACAAAAAAACATGGATTTGGAATTGGTGGCGCCAAAAATAAATTGCAATTGGAGAATTCAATTCTATCCACACCAATTCAATAGAATTTCAACTCTCAATTCAATTCCAATTCCAATAATATCGTGTACCAAACATACACGAGGAATTTTTAGGAACGGAGGGGGTATTAAATAAAATTATGTTACATACTTTCATATTAGTGCAAAATTAATTCAAAAAATGTTTTCACTCCGGAGTCCCTCGGTCCCAAAAAATATTTCTGATTTAGTTAACAATTTTTTTACTAAAATTGTTTTAAATTTAAATTATTTGAAAATTAATACATAATATACTACTTGTGTCCCAGTGTATTTGTCCAGTTTGACTTTTTCGAGTCAAATTGGACAAAATTTGAACTCCAATTACTCTCAATTTATATTGCATATTAGCGTAATGAAATACAATTTTGGAAGTTCTCAATACGATAAACCAATAAAGTCATTTTTGTATTAAAATACATTACAATTTTTATTTAATTTAAATTCAAAGTTTATTCAATTTGACTCAATTTCATGAACAGGCAAAGCAATTGGTCGTTCTCAATTTCATGGGGATACTCTGCCAACATATACGAGAAGATAATGCCTCGGAGCTACCTGCAGAACCCAATCCAGAGCTTCAAGCCATGGCTGAAAAGCCCCGGGCCGCCGCACTGGATATTCGACGTCCGGCGGCTCCGGGCGGCGGCCGCCTCCGACCCCTGTCTTGTTCCTCATGCATTCTTCCTTGAGTCCACCGAGAAGGTGGCGGTTACCCACGCACATTACGAGATACTCGGGACGTATCGCCGGTCATGGCGGCGTGGACTGCCGGCATGCTCCGCCGCCGGTATCAGTTCATCAGCTGACCGGATTTCAAAGATTCTGGTGTACTCACCGGCAACGGAGCCAAAACAGGTATTCTACTCATATCAATATAGATAAACGTTAAAATTAGTTTGGAGTTGAAGTGCAAAGTGAAAAAATCGTTCAACAATATTACAAATTCGTAATGAAATTCCGGAGCGGTAGCAGGGTCCAAGAGGCGGCAGCCCCGCTGAGATCGAACTGTAAAATTTTTTATTTAGGACATTTTTACTTTATGAAATTCTTTTAAGTTTTAGACTTTTAGTGGATGGAATCGAAATATAAACAGAACTACTTTTAACTCTTTTGAAATAAAAATAAAAATAAAAAAATAGTTAACTAACGAAGTTAAAATTAATTTTCTTTGTATTTTCTTGATTTTAACCAAAACAATAAGCCTATACTCCCTCCGTCCCCAATTTGATTATAATTTTTTTCTCTTTCTCTCGATAACTTTTGTTTAATTACGCGATTTCATTAAGTATTAATAAAACAAAATATTCTTGCTGCCACCTTTTGTTTTGTAGAACTTTTGATGTAATTTTTTAATATGTAATTTTTATTTTTTATTGATATACCGATCTGTAAATAAAATGATTTCAAAAGTAAGAAATTTTTCCTCATAAACCTTAATTTGTAATCAAATTGGGGAGGAAGGAGTATATTATATTTCACTTTTTTGCAATCTGTTAAAAAATCATTATTTCCCGAAAGCTGTAGTTGCTTTAAATTTAAATTTTTAAAATTTTTTGTCGATTCAAGACAAATTTGTCTTAAGTTATAAAAACTTTTATTTTGACTCCAAAGTCAAAATCGACTTGTGTGGTGCAATTGAAGGGGGTGGGGGGTGTGTTCGGGGCGGGGTGGGGAGATTTATCGGGGGTAGAACCATCAAATTTACGAACGGGGCACCGCAGCGCCCCCGGGTCATCCTATGACATTGGTTCTCAATGTCATGGGAACCAAGGTGAACTTTTATACGAGTATATCATTATTTCAATAATGAAGGATTGAGACAAAACATAAAACAAAGAAGTTAAAAAGTATTTTATCATACGCATCGAAAGTGAAATTAAATTACGTAACACCACGAAAGGTGGGATTATTTCAGACAAAAACAAAACAAAACATTTTCAAATAGTTTCATTTCATCAACTTTTTCTGTTAGCACTAGGAGGATAACAATGACCGAAATGCGCAACAACTTGGATATAATTGAGATTATTTTCTCATCCATTTACTCTTCCGTTCTTCAAAATACTTCTTATTTTGACTAAATGCAAAAATAAAGAAATATTAAATTGTAGTTGGCTTTTAATTTAACCCTTGATAGATTATTAAAAAATAGGTATGATGTGATAGATAGAGTATGAAAAAGTATGTGTAAAAGTAGTTTTTAATAGAAAGTGGAAGTGTTTTGGTGGAAGAAATGATAGAATTTAGGATGGGGTATAGACAATTGGATTAGACAATGAGACACTTGGGTTAAACCACATTAAAAGATTAAATACAATCGATTAGTTAGTTCAACTTAAGAGCTTATATACCCATTATTTCTCTCACACGTTTCCGATATGAGATTATCTTTAACACTCCCCCTCAAGTGGACGACTGGGTCATTTTGAATCTAACCGGTTGACCACATGTAAATGAACTCGCATTCCCTTATTTTTTTTAGCGCCAACACCCAAAGGACAACGAGTCGCTGGGTATGGACTTCTAGATGAGCTATCGTGTTAAACGGGCCACAAGTCGTTGGGTACATACTCCATACGGAACATTGGCTACCTGCTCCGATACCATGATAGAATTTAGGATAAGGTATAGACAACTGTATTAGACAATAAGACACTTAGGTTGGACCACATTAAAAGATTGAATCCAATCGATTAGTTAGTTCAACTTAAGAGCTTATATACCCATTATTTTCCTCACACGTTTCCGATGTGGGATACTCTTTAACAAGGAAAAAAATGAAAGAGACAGTATTTTCCCAAACGGAGGAAGTATTATTTTTTAAAAAGGGGGTATTTTTACTTATCAATTTATTTTTCCAGATTAACTCTCCCTTTTGTTTCTGCATATATATATAAAAATCTTTATATGCTTCAGAAAAAATTATTTGGAAATTGTATGGTTTACCCCTAAATATTAAAAATGATACCTTTTACCCTTGAACTCTTCGAGAATTGCACGATTTACCACTTGAACATTAAAATTTCACCAAATACCCTTATAGTATGTTTGGGAACATGGATTTGGATTTCAAATCCGGATTTGGCTTAAATTCCATGTTTGGGAAACATAAGCATTTTGAATTTGGATTTGAATCAAATTCTTTACATTTGTAGAAAATTTAGCGAAACTGAACTGCTTTTCATTAATCATAAACCGAAATATATACAAGTACATAAACGGGCTAACAAATACAAGCCCAATAACATAATATCTACGGTTAATTACAAATATCCACTAACACTCCCCCTCAAGTTGGAGCATGAAGATCTCGAATGCCCAACTTGAATAGTAAGAAATCAAAAACAGGTTTGGCTAACGGTTTCGTAAAAATGTCGGCCAACTGATAACGTGTAGGAACATAGCGCGTAGACACCTCATGGCGTTGGACAGATTCACGAACCGTATGACAATCGACATCAATATGCTTCATTCGTTCGTGGAATACTGGATTCGCTGCAATATACAAAGCTGATTGATTATCACAATATAAACGCGGAGGATATAAAATGGGGACACCCAACGCGCCCAAAATACCATGCATCCAGCGTATCTCAACGCATGCATTGGCCATGGCCCTATACTCAGCTTCTGCAGAAGACCGCGCCACAGTTGTATGTTTCTTCGTTTTCCATGAAACAGGAGACGTACCCAACATAATAAAATATCCGCTAACGGACCGTCGAGAAATAAGACAACTAGCCCAGTCGGAGTCACAATAAGCTGTAATGTGAAGATTGCTTGTGGCGCTCAAAAATATTCCCTGACCCGGGTGGCCTTTGATGTAACGCAGAACGCGTAGAGCAGCATTCATATGATCAAGAGTGGGTGCCTGCATAAACTGGGACAAAACATGAACAGAGTGACAAATATCCGGACGAGTGATAGTAAGGTAAATCAAACGCCCAACTAGTCGACGATATTTTGCTGGATCGTGGAGAGGGGGGCTGTCGAGGTGGCCAGGCCGTGCGTCGTCGGCATAGGAGTGCCCGCCGGTTTGCATCCCAATAAGCCGGCCTCGTGTAAAATCTCCATTGCATATTTGCGCTGACAAAGGACGATGCGAGACGGAGACCGAGCACATTCAATTCCCAAGAAATATTTGACAGGACCCAGGTCTTTAAGCTGAAAACACCGGTCCAAGTAACGCTTGAAGGAAGAGCACATGGAAGGATTATTGCCTGCAACCAAGATATCATCAACATATACCAACACAGTAAGAATATCAGGACCACGGCGTAAAATAAATAAAGTGTGATCCTTGTGAGCTTGCTTGAACCCCCAATCACGAAGAGCAGAGCTTAACTTATGAAACCAGTTCCGAGGAGATTGACGCAACCCATATAACGATTTTTGGAGTCTGCATACTTTGCCAGGAATAGAATACCCAGGTGGTAACCGCATATAAACCTCCTCAATGAGATCCCCATTCAGAAAAGCATTGTTAACATCAAGTTGATGAACCTCCCAATTTTTAGCCACAGCCACAGATAATAAAATACGAACAGTACCCATTTTAGCAACAGGGGCAAAAGTATCTGTATAATCCGTCCCAAATTCCTGGTGATTCCCTAAGACCACAAGGCGTGCCTTATCCCGCTCTTTGGTACCGTCAGACCTGAACTTGGTCCGATAAACCCATTGACACCCCAAAGCAGTGCGATTAGGCGGAAGATCGGTGATGTCCCGAGTGTGATTATTCTCCAAAGCATCAATCTCCTGTTGCATAGCTACTCGCAAGTTAGCATGTTGCATAGCCTCCTTGAAGTTCCTAGGAACCTCATGTGATGTAATAGCCGCCAAGAAACCACGATGCCTGTCATGTAATTTCTCATAATGAACAAAATTGTGGATAGGATACCGAGTACCTGAAGAACGAAAAGAGGCAACGGAAGGAGCAACAGGAGCCAATGTCCGGACTGTATGACAATAATAATCGGCCAGGTGAGGAGGGGGTCGACGTTGACGAACTGGGGGTGGGGGTGACGGAGACGGGGACGGGGAGCTGACGGGGCTGTCTGTGTCAATTCCCTCGTCGTTGCCGCTGGAGGAGGTTGGGGTTGCCGGGCTACCACTGCTGGAAAAATCCGCGGGGACAACCGGCTGGGAAGGAGGGCTGGGAAAATCGGCATGGGGCGGGGACAGGGACGGGCAGATTTGGGGCGATGGGTTTTGAGGAATAGCAAACGGGAAGACAGATTTGTCAAATGAAATATCCCGGGTATGAAAGAAACGATGAGACTCAAGATCATAAACCCGCCAACCTTTAGTCCCGGTAGGATACCCCATAAACATACATTTGAGACTACGAGGGTGGAATTTATTGGGAGGGCGTTGAATATTACGGACAAAACAGAGACACCCAAACACTCGGAGGTGAGACAAGTCTGGAGGTGTTGAAGAAAGAAGTTCAAAAGGAGATTTACCTTGTAAAAGTGGAGTGGGTGTACGGTTTATGAGATAAACAGTTGTACGAACGCATTCCTCCCAAAACTCAAGAGGTAAAGAGGCTTGAAACATTAAAGACCGAGCAACATTTAGAATGTGGCGATGCTTACGCTCAACCCGACCGTTTTGCTGTGGAGTATTGACACAAGAGGTTTGAACAAGAACTCCTTTACTCGCATAAAATTCACGAAGGGGCCGGTTGAGGAACTCAGTACCGTTGTCAGAACGAACAACTTTTATGATTTTATGGAACTGAGTATGAATAAGAGAAAAAAATTGTTTCAAGCAACTAGTGACTTCACTTTCCTCAATAAGTAGAAAAACCCAAACAGCTCTAGAAAAATAATCCACAATAGTAAGGAAGTAATGTGACCCAGTAGAAATACAGGGAGAGTATGGTCCCCATAAATCACAATGAATTAAATCAAACAATTGTTCAGCTTTATTAATACTGGGAGTAAATGGAGAACGAGTCTGTTTGGAAAAGAAACAAATATCGCAAGACTGAAACTTTTTAATTTCAGTAGTGCTCTTATTAAACGGAGGGAAAGATAAAACTTGAGGAGATGGATGACCAAGACGCTGATGCAACAAGGAGACGGACTCGACTTTGAATGCCTGGGCTTGAGATGGAAAGACATAGACTCCGTTGCGTGCTTCACATTGACCAATCCGAATCTTCGTAGTTCGGTCCTGTATCACACAAAAATGATCATAAAAGAAAACATGATATTTATGTGAGTTGACAAGACAACTCACAGATATCAAATTGCACTTCAAATTGGAAACATATAAAACATTGTGCAAGATTAGGGAAGGAGACACTTGCACACGGCCATAAGAGTTGGCCACAACGTGAGTTCCATCGGGCAAACTGATAGTGCAAGGAGGCCGCGGCACGACATCGGTCAAACAATGCAACAAACCTGTCATATGATGAGAGGCACCACTATCCACAAGCCATTCACAAGGCTCGGTAAAAGACATACCTTGCACTGAGGTAACATTACTAAAACATGAAGAGGTGGTTTCTGGGGCCGAATTATCACCACCACACTGACCGATGATAGTACTGCAGGAAGCCATGACACCAAAAAGAGAAATCCCCAAGAAGCAAACCTTTGCAAGCAAAGATCTTTCCAATTCCAAAATGGCAGTCAACAAAAAAAAATGCAGAGTCAAATTAATCTCCACAGCTACGCCGACCCAGATTTGCAAGAAAAAATCCAATATTGCACAATCAATGGAATTGCAATCGCCGACCAACAGCAACAATCCACAACCAAAAATTGCCGACCAACAAAAACAAAAACTTATCGCCGACCTACAGTAACAATCGACCAAAATTGCCGACCAACAGCAACAATCGACCGGTCGACAAGCAGCCGGATGGCTTCTTCGCCGGAGAAGAGAAAGCGACGCCCACCTAAGGTTCGGGCGTTGAAGACGTCGGAGAACAGGGACGCGGTAGGGTTAGGCTCCTATACCATTAGAAAATTTAGAGAAACTGAACTGCTTTTCATTAATCATAAACCGAAATATATACAAGTACATAAACAGGCTAACAAGTACAAGCCCAATAACATAATATCTACGGTTAATTACAAATATCCACTAACAACATTCAAAACATTAAACAATTTAAAATGTTGGATTGTTGGTTTTAAAATGCAAGATAAGGAGTGCGTTACTCCCACGCATGGGAGTTGCGAGTATGATTAATCTAGTCATTGTGAATTCTCCAAAATACCGTTTCCCAGAATTATCATCTTTCTTTAAATATTCAGGTGTAAACTGTGCAATTTCCGTCTAGTTCAAGGGTATTTCGGTACACTTTTAATGTTCATGGGTAAACCGTATAACCTTTAAAGAATTCGAAGATATTTGGTTCATTTTTTAATGTTCAAAGATAAACTATATACGGAGTAATTTTTAAAGAATCCGGGGGTAACGGTGCACTTCTCTCTCAAATTCAGATTTGTTGAACTGTTTTCAGATCGATAGATGCGAATGTTGTGACGTGGAAGTCGACGGTGTTGACGGAAGCAGCGCCGTCGTCAAAACGAGGAAATGCATGGCGGGAGAGATTATTGCTTGAAAATTTATTGGATCCAATAATTCAAAAGGGGGAGATAGAGAAGGAAATTTAAAAAAAGGAAATAAAACAATAAAAAAAATTGTTGAACTACTGCTTTTGTTTAGG